CAAATGTGTCTTTATGTGGTACATCTTTACAGGTGCTATGGACTTGCATGCACCCTCACACACACACGAGAGCGTGAGGAAGGAAAGCCACACGACCCAGAAAAGCTGCTTCACACCTGAGTGGCAGGTTTAATGTCTGGCTCCAAAGGGAGTCTGTTCTCATAGCAAACTACTTTCTTCCTGAGATGCAGGTCTCCTCATCCACCTGAGCACAGTATAGCTTCACAATGAAACACGTAACATCAGGATCAGGCAGAAGATCTGTTGTCTCCTTTCCATTCTAATATCCAGGGGCTTCAAACCATCTCCCTGTGCTATGGCTGCAGACAACAGCCCTTTCTGCCTCCCTGGCCTCAGGGGGTGCTTCTGGCCAGCCCTGCTCTCTGCCATAGCAAGAAGGAGCCTCAAGAGGAGAGCACAAGGGAGTTGGTGGCTTCAAAGATCCTCAAATGAAGCAGCCCTATTTCTACAGCAAATAACAAAGCCAATAAGCACCATTGCACAAAGAGGAAGGGCTTTGGATGCTAGAGACTCAGGATGAGAGCCATTGAGGGAGCTGTGAGGAGTGTGGGAGGGGGTTAAGGGGAAAAGCTGAGCTCACTGCATCCCAACAAGACAACATCAGGCAGGAAACAGATGTTCAAGGAACCACAGAGGGGTACAGCAACAGCTGAATTAACTCTCCAGCAAATAGGGGAAGCTCAGATCCACAGAGCTGACCTACATCCTAAGAACAAGGTGTCTGAGATTTGGCTTTTTGCAGTCCTAGTAGCACATACTATCCCAACATTTAGATACCATCATACCAAAGACAAAAGAAACAATTCAGCCTTTCTCCAAGCCCTACCTGGCTCTAAGCAAATGAAGCAAAGGCAGGTCTGAATCAGTGGCAGTTCCTATGAAAAAGACTGGATTACCATTCACCAGCAGAATCCAACTGTTGTAGATGTATTTCCATTTTAAAAAGTGGAAGTTGTACCTGGCAGTGTACCTGAACTCCCACAGTTAGAAGTACTGGGAATATTAAACTCCATTTTGACTTAGACCTTCTTACTTTAATAGCTTTGACATTTTCAGCCCACTCTTACAACACTTCTCTGTTATAACCAGAAGTAAGATTCCTCTTTGTGACTGTCTGAAGCAGTTCAGATTGTCCTGCCCCAACTAAGGTTTGTGCACAGCCTTGCATCTTGTCTTCTCTGCTGGCTCCTCCATGACTAGAACATTATACTGCTGTTATTACAGGAACTGGGGGCCTGATGTGCAGCTCCCATTGACTTCAGTAGAGGCACTACGTGCTACCCTCCTTTGGAAACCAGGCTGTTTATCAGGAGGAAAAAGCACAGCTCTAATGTTAATCCTTCAAACCTAGTATCTGTTACCTTCACTGCACCCATACAACATTTCATTAAAGTTTGGCACAGGAAAATATTTTAGTAAAGGGCATTAGCACTAAATTCCTCCTGCATGGTACCTATCCATGTGGGCTTACACTGCTTTCTAGTGAAGCTTTGACACTCCAAAAGATCCCTTGCCTCTGTGTGCGGATTCAGTGCTGGCAGCAACAGAAGAGGGGCTATGTGAAATCAGATTACTTTTACTCATTGGCATTGCCAGCCACCATTCTTTCATGTTTTATGTGAGCTTTCCCTCAAATCCACTGCTATTAAAGTCATTGTTTGAGAATGTTAGTGGGAAGGAAAAGAAGCTAATTTCCCCACAAGTTTCTAGCCCTCTTGCCAGGAGAAAGACTTAAAAACGTAACTCAGATGCGCACTGAAGCTTCACAAAACAGCAGAAAAAGAACCCAGCACTGATTTTTATTTTATCTCATGATGTCTGTGTCCTGAGTCACGATTTTAAATGCTTGGGAGCACTGATAGCAGTCTGCCCCCATAAGGAGCATGTGTAGAGTCTGCCAGCAGCAAAAGGCCAAGTAGGGTCAAATGCAGTAGTGACAGGAACTGACTCGAAATGCAGTAAATTCAACACATCTGAGCTTCAAACCAGCCAGCAGACAGCAACATCTGTCTGTCATCACTGACCTGGGTCAGATCTGAAGAATCAACTCAGGGATAAAGGCTTTTTATCACATTTTTAGTCTCCTGAGCTACCCCATTGTACCCACTACATCTACACTCCTCTTAAATACTTTGTAGTTCTGCTACAGCTTTTGTTGTATTATCACAAAGCTCTTTATAACAGAGGCTTAGGTATATCTGTCTGCTAAGGGAGACAGCGGGATCTTTCCACCCTTACACTGAAACGCAGCCATCTCTGAAGCAGGCCATAGCAAGTTCTTAAACAGTTAAATGACAGGAGAGGAAATGGTGATACCTTAAGCAGAATATAATTCTCTCCACTGGAATTTGGCAAGGACACAGGGACTAAGGTCTTTGCAGAAAGCACAAGCTGCTCTTCAACAGCCACAAGCATGTAGGGACTCAAGTTGTGCATCTCCTCCACAAAGCATCGCACAAGTAGTGCAGCACCCCCTAACTGTAACGGTCCTGCACTATTCCAGAGGGAAAAATGCCAAACTGAATTCTCTACACTAGCCTTGGCCGTGCCCTGTGCTCCCTTTGCCATCCCCAGCACCAGCAAAGCAGGTCTCTGTTTCCCTTCACTTGTGTGAGTTTGCAGGATCAGCCACAGCTGATCAGCACTACAGAATGGTGTAAAGCAGACCTGAGCATGAAAGCACAACCAGTCTGACTTGTGCCCTGCTTGTCCTACAGCCTCTTCTTCTTTTCCAGCTAACCCTTACGGGTGCATTTTAAAACCTGCTTTTGCAAAGGTCCTCAACAAACCATTTTCTATACAGCAGCCAAAGCGCTCTCCCACTCCTCATCACTCACAGATAGCACGAACTTACATCTTCATTGCTTCCAAGTAGGGAACAACCAGAGCCTGCGTTCCACCATTTAAACACATAGTACCATCCAAAATAGAGAGAAAGTCACTGCTTTACATCTTTACCAAAACCCTTGCTTGCAGGAGCACTGGCTTATCACTGGAAATAGCTCTTAGCAGGACAATTCAACTATTCCCAAATCAGTCACCTAAATGCTCTCTAATTTAGTTTTATAATTACAGGTTGCAAGTTTATGATGTCCTGGTGACATCTGAACCTTCATTTCTTCCCAAGACATCACTTTGGCAATACTTAGTCACACTCCTACTGATCCTGAGAGCCCTACTAGCAATGAAATTACTATCTCTAATACCCTCATTTCTTCTCCTCCTGTTCTGAAGGATTTGATTGTTCCAATCTAACTTACACCCTTCCCAATAAACCTATAACAATTCAGTCTTTTATTTCTGGATCCCACGGCACTGGGCAATGGGATGTGCTATTCAAAAAATAAAGGGAAAGGAACTTCATATTCTCCCCCACTTTTCCTCAGCACAGAGAGATAAGTAGGTTGGAACCGTGAACCATTCCACAAATGAGACTTGGGGCAATGTCCTTCTTTCTTGTGCCCCCAAAAAAATGAAAAAACGATGGGATTTCAGGTAATAAATGTTGCTGTTCTGGTTAAATTCCAACTGCAGTAATTATGTTTCTCCCTTTAAAATCTCTCTTGCTGCTTCAGCTGAATATACTGCCTGTGCCTGCGTTCCCGGAGTTGTTTTTCAGTGTTCCTGTAAACAGCTGTAAATAGTCCCTCCACAGTGGCAGCTCATGCTAGCACTGGATGGAATTTATCTGTCTGTACCTCATGCTGGCAAAGTGGTATCAGTTCATTAAGCCTGTTTTCTTTTTTTCTAGTTCAATTCAATTGTTGTTAAGGCCTATATAAGTTAAAAAATACAATAACTGTTATGGACAACCCACAGTGCAATTGAATGCCTGGTTTCCCCCACCTCTAAGTAAACGCACACATATAACGTTTTATCTTAGTGATATATTTACTGCCCCCTTCACTGTGCAATGGAAAAGACAACTGTTATGTAGTCCATCCCTCTGCCAGTGCAGTTCCACCCTGTACTTCATCAGCCATGCTCCTCAGCAAATGAAAGACCTGATTGTACAGCCCTCCCTGTATAAAGCTGACATTGCTGCTAGAAGCCTTCTTATTTGCTTGGAGTAGCCTGACATTGGTAAAAGTTAGTTAACTCCAACTGGAACATAATGCGAAACCTGGCACATACAGCTAACATCAGGGATGGTTCTTTTTCCCCTGGCTAAACTGCAGGTCTTTCTTTATGCCAGGCTCACAACTGCTTCTCTCATCATCCAACCCTCTTCAAGAAGAATCCTTCTGCTCCTTTCCTCACCAAGGGCTGACCAAGCTCAGGACCCTCTCTTATTGGAGTTACCTCTTGTCTGAGCTATCATGTTCTCACCCAACACGTTGGGGGCACGGAGGTCAGTTAGAGGAGGAGAGGAGAGATAACAGGCACAGTAGTGAAAACATTAGCTCAGCTTCCCCCTTACACCTCACACTCAAACCTACTCCACCTCCCTGTCTCTGTCTTGTCTCCAGCCACCACGGAAAGGACAATATGGGAACGGTGCTGCAGTCCAGGAGGGGCAGATGGGACATTCCCAGTTCCTCCCTACAGCCCTGCAACGCTCATGGACTTCAAGAGGATTTCATAGTCCAGGGGGAAGCAACACTGAGCGCAGGCTTGATTTCCAAACCTAGCCCCTAAATGCCTGCTACTCCCTTCCACTACCAGGCACACGGGAGAGGGCATCCCAGCATAGGGCTGGCCACCTCTGTTCACATTTAAGCATCCCGAGAGCCTTAGCCCAGTCCTTTCCCCACACACAGCACTACTCATGCAAGGGTCATGCAGACGCGTCACCAGAGCAATCTTCCGATTGTTCATTCATTGTGAGTAACAAGGCAATGACTCCACTTCCCAGGGATAAATCAGCCCCAGGTTGTCTAGCCCTTGGGAAAGGTCTGGTCTGCAGTCCTACCGGTAAAAAAGGGGGGGACGAACGCCCTGCTCCTTCGCAACCAGAGTGATAATAAAGAGACATTTACCATCCTGCCCAGAGCTCTCCAGATACTCCGTCAGGTCGCAGCCGAACGCGCTCGCGGCTCCCTTCCTCTTGAGTTTCTGTTTGGCTCCCTTGTTCTTCATGAGGTTAGTCCCAAAAGAGGTTCTCCCCCCTCCTGCCTTGCCCCCCACCCCCCCAGCCTCACGCTGGGCGATAAGAATCTCGCTCTTCTCCTTAGACCACGGCCCGTGCCCCGCTCCCAAGGAGCAACATCGGGGGTCCCGAGCAGCGTCCAGCCAGAGAAGTAAACATGAATCCCCACCAGATGTTGGGCTGCTCCTGTGGCAGAGGACGGTCAGGGCGAGAGGAGGCTGCCCAGCCAGCAGCAGCAGCGATCATAGCCTGAGCCCGGAAGGGTTCTCATCGGAGGGAAGTGGGTGGTGGACGGGTGCCCGCATCGGGGTTGGCAACTTGGGGGCAGGCGATGGTGAAGGAGGGGGTGCTAAGTCCCTCAGCACGGTCCCGGGACCCTCCACGGCCACCTTCTGGGTTTCATCAGCCGCACTGTCGACACTCCCAGCAGCAGAAAGCGTCCCAATGTGGTTTGTCCTTCTCTCGGCTTTCGGAGGAGACTGGAAGTTCAAACGGACTAATGAAAAGGGACCGGGGGGAAGAGTCTGCACAAGGCTCCTCTTTGGCTCCCCCCCCTTCCCCTCCTCCTGCCTTTGGACAGTTAGAGGAATGAGAAACCAGCTTCCTGCCCTGACTCCCGCTCGCCTGCTCGCTCCTTTCCCCCCGTTTTACAAATCCTAGGATTATCCAGCTCAAAAAAAAATGCTGGAAGGAAGTTAGCTGAGGAGGGGGGCGGAGGACAAGGTTTGGCAATAAAGTACGTGTGTGTGTGTGTGTGTGTGTGAGAGGGGGGGAAGGAGGGGAGAGGAGTTAGGGGACTGCGATGGGGACGAGGAGGGAAGGAAGGGGGAAAGCCTGTCCTGCGAGTCGACAGATAACGGACTGCCTGAGACGGAATCAGTGCAAGCCGAGCGGTGCAGTCAGACGCTTCCTGTGCTACCAGTGCTTAGCACTGAAAAGGCCCAAGGAGGGGCCGGTGAGGAGGGGAGAGACCAGTAAATCTCTGCCTCTTTATCCAGTCCTCTGTCGCAAGGCTCCTTCCTGCCCTCGAACATGACTCTGTCAGTGCGGGGTTTGCCTTCTGTCGTGGTTTAAACCCAGTCAGGTAATTCGTTCACTCACTTCCCCCCCTTTCTTGCCCTCCCCCTGCTCCCGGAGGGACGGAGAGGAGAATCGAAAAGAATGCAACTCCCACGGGTTGAGATAAGAACAGTTTAGTAACTAAGGTATAACACAAATCACTACTGCTACCACCAATGATAATAATGATAAAGGAAATAACAAGGGAAGAGAATACATCATCTCACCACCAGCCGACCGATAACTCGCCCCCCAGGCCCAACCAAGCTCCGACCGATACCTCCTCCAACCCTGCAGTCCCCCAGCCCTTCCGGCTAACTCCCAGTTGCATCCTGGGCATGACGTGCTGTGGTATGGAATACCTCTTTGGTCAGTTTGGGTCAGCTGTCCTGTCTCTGCTTCCTCCTGGCTCCCCTTCCTCCCTGGCAGAGCATGAGGCTCACAAAGTCCTTGGCCAAACCAAAACATCACCTATCAGCTCTGTTCCCAAGCTGAAAGTCAAAACACTGCACTGCACCAGCTACCAAGAAGGGGAAAAATGACTGCTACTGCTGAACCCAGGACACCTTCCTTTACAGAGGCACAGGATGGAGCTATTGAAGGGCAAGAAGGGGGCAGAAAGTTGGGAAACTAAAGAAGGGGGGAGGAGGGAAACCTTCAGCTCTCTCCTCCCCGGCAAGCAGAAACAGATGCTGTCCGGGCATCTAAATTCACGTAGGCTCCCCTTAACCAAGGAAGGGGTTTAGAGATAAGGAACAGAAATCTCACAGTAGAGGCAAGAAGGGAGATGGCCTGGGTCTGCCCTCAAGCCGTCTTGTTCCCTTCCGCCCCCAACACCTTTCTACTCTTACTTTCAGTACATGCATATCTCTGCTTGCAAGAGCAGTCACTTACACTTAACTCCACATTTTTTGTCCCAGAAATTCAGACCTCTTTACAGGGCTGGGTATGCTGGTGGGCTGCACACTTCACCTAAGGAGGCAAACTGAGCTCTGCTAAGGCTTCACTGCCCCCTCTTGCTTCGTGTCAAATATAACTGTATGGGTCTGGGTGGAAAATAAACAAACAAATGAAAAACAGGAAATTGCAGCTTTTCACCAAAAATCAGACCAAAGACAAGTAGAGGAGTTTTACTTTGGAGGAAATCTGGCCAGAAAATGGGGCAAAGGACTGCTGCCAGGCTGAAGGGTAGACCTGAGCTCTCACCACCGGACCAATGGTTGTTCTCAGGGACCCTCAGTGCTCATGACACTCTTAAAACTTCCTTGGCTTTAATACGGGCTTCTCACAGCACCCTGATGTCAAGTCAGCACATGGGATCTCGCCAAACCCATCGCGTGCCGCAGTGCATCCTGCCTGCCGGCCAAGGGGCAGACTTCAAACGGGACAGACAGACAACAGGACGCTCAGAGCTGGGTGTCTCGCCAGGGCATCCTCCTGCTGCCCTGCCTTCTGTAGGAAGAGAAAGCCTTTTCCTTGCCCCCTTAGGGAGGAGGCACGTCCTCCTGCACATGCCAGCCTCCTCCAGGTTCACCATGGCAAGAAACCACACCATCTTCTTCTAGGTCCTGAGGGTGGTAAAACACTATCACAGGTTGCCCAGAGGGATGGCAGGTGCCCCATCCCTGGAGACATTCAAGGCCAGGCTGGATGTGGTTCTGGGCAACCTGATCTTGTTGAAGATGTCCCTGCTCATTGCAGGGGGTTGGACTAGATGAGCTCTGAAGGTCCCTTCCAACCCAAACCATTCTATGATTTTATGTATACAGCTTCAGCATGTCACCAGTGAGGGAGCACCCTGACATGGCCACTATGCAGCATGGGATCCCACACACACCTTGCAAAGCCCTGCTCTAAGGGGCCTTGGTGGTCCATGAGCCCAGATAATGGGGACTCAGCAGCACTGCTGGGTCAGATCATCACCCTCTCAGTATTTCTTAGAGGCCAGTAGGCATTTTCAGCTGAAAGCACTATTTCTTATTGCTTTCAGTGGCAGTTCCCTGTAGCTGCTGAGGAGGTGCCATCGTTGGAAGCCATGGCTCCATGCAGAAACGGAGTGCTGCCATCTGATTTTGATTATCTGGGGGGCTTTTGCTGTGCTGCCCTGACACCAAACAGGCTGTGAGTGGGTGATGCCTGTCCAAGACTGGGACACAGGACCACTATCAGCCATTGCCATCTGGGTGTCATGGTAGATGATGGAGAGAGATTGCCACCACCATGACAAGAAAAAACAGTATTTGAAGCAAAAGAGCAGGGAATTGGAGCTAGAAGCACGACAGGGAGGATTCTGACTTTATTCATAGAGGCTCTTTCAGGTGTTGGTTGCAGTTTGCTGCCCTGTGCCAATAACTCCATGGAGGGAAGAGTGATCCAGAGAAAGGAAATGGTGTGGAAGGCAGAGCGAAGGAAGGCATGAGGAGCTCCATGAGAGCTCTTTGCCAGGCAGGCTGGGCTATGCGGCTGGCTTTCCCCATGCCAGGACAAGGTTCAGCAAGAGGACAGAGGGGAGGTTGCTGCAGGATTGCTTAGGGAGCCCAGGGCCAGGAGGAGGAGGTCAGGCAAGGTGAGCGGGCAGCAAACAAGGGAGGCTTTACAAACAAAGCACTTTCCTATCGGAGCCTGAAATCAGTGCTGAGCCAGGGGATTTTTTCTGAGGGAAAGGAGGGATGTTCTCCGCTTTAGAATTAAAAATAAGAAGCCTGGATTTGTGCAGCCTTGGGAGGCAGGGCAGGGCTCTGCAATAGTGAGGGTGAGCAGTAGGGCTCAGGGAGCAAGCCAGGTCCCTTCTGGAAAAGCTTTCACAGGCAAGAAGCAAAGCTGGACAGGGAAAGAGCTCAGGCCAGAAGCGTGGAAAGCAAAAAGGAGTTCAATGGTGAAGCAGCTGGGAAAGAAGGGGGAATTTCTCTCCCTCCTAAGAAAAGGTAGAAGAAGAAAAAAGTGATTGTGCAGAATAAGAGCAACACCAAGCCAAGCCAGAGCTCTCATAGAGTTTAATTCCCAGTCCCCACCACCATACAAACAGCATGATGGCCAGCAGTCGCACAGTACCACAGCCCAAACCAGGAAGCCATGGCCTGTGATACTTACTTTAATTCCTTCCCTTTGAACCTGTAAAAACAGGTCAGGATTTGCAGTTGGACACAAAGCCCTCCCCGTCAGAGAGGGCCATAGGTTCATGCAGGAAGGTGGAACACCTTCACTGCTGATCTGCAGTGCCTTGCCTTTGGCTTGAGTGTGGGTATAGGAAACCGGTGTTTGTGTGTGAATGAACATGGGATGGATAATGACTTTGCAGGTCTATCTGTTCTCACAGACAAGGTGCCAGTGACTCCAGAAGCAGTCAGGGAGCCTGGGGAACAGCTTTGGCTATTAGGACTAAGTGTTTCTTCCCCTTCTAAGAGCCAGGGGCCACAGCAGAGGCGTCACACAGGCTATTTCTGGGCACCCATCTCTCCCCTCCCTACTGCATTTCCTTCATTGTGTTTGAGGTCTTTCCTATCCATGGCTTTAAAATCTCCACCAATCTGCCAGGCGCCACTCAGCACAAAAGAGCAGGGAGGGCTGGGGAGTGGAAGACCCGGGGAGGGGGGGCTCTGAACCCCTAAAAATAGCCCTGCCAAGTACAACTCTTTTCCTGACACAGACAGTTCATTGTTAGACCCTGACACGCCAGTTCACTCTCCCTCCCCACCCCTCCACATACTCTTTCCTCTCCTGACCTCTCCAGCCTGGTTTCCTGTCTACTCCCATCTCCATGGTCAAAGCTGGAGTGTATTGTGAAGCCTAAAGCTTGACATCTTCTGAGTACATATCAGATGAGTCTATGGGGCTACCCTTCAGCTTCCCTTGGCACAGGGCACCCACCACTCTCCGTTCCTAATTCCACACATTCCCAGCTACAAGCCCTGTCTCTCCCAGCTCTAACCTCCTTTTCTGCATTCCCGAGGACCCTCTTGTCCACATCATGACATGCTTTCTTCTGTGTCCATCTGCCCCATGCAACCTTTTCAATAGCTACTTCTCTGATCCCAGCACTTCAGCAGCAAATGAAACAGGAACCTATCACTTGCACACTACCAAGTTTTTTACTGCTGGCTAACTACCCACAACATGCTGGTGTAACCAGGAGGTACAACAGACCTATGCCCAGAAGGCTCTAGCTATGAGCCTGCATGATGATTTGATGTCATCACAGGGATGTCCTAGAAGGAACCGGACTAGAACAAATGGAACCAAATAGAAGGGGTTTGTTCCCACTTTGCTGGTTAGGGCATCAGGTGAGGATCTATGGCTGGGGGATGAGATGTAGTCACTGACTTATCAGGAGCAGACATATATGCCTGCCCATTCCACCTCCTTGAGTATCATTCCAGATGCAATGAAGACTGAGGTACGTAAGTAGCCTAATGATGTTCTGTTACTGACTACACACACCACAACCACAAAACATGCAACAGTGCTTTTAGCCAGATTGCCTTCTCCCATTGTTCACAGTCATTTCAGAAGTGTCAGGTTTTCAGTACAGAAAAGAGATGAGGAATGTATTTCACTTCCCTTACTCAGAGCACAGACTTGCCT